TATTCCAGCAAAGGCAAAGACACTCGAAAGTAACCTGAATGGTAGCATGTGCCAGAATCAATCATCGCTAGCACGGCTGTCGACAGCCTCTCCTTCCGAAGGTTACTCACAGTCAAATTTAGAGTGTCATAAATTTTCTAGCACGAGTTACTGCCTAAAAATGAATAAAATAAAACACAAAATTTACAAACGGTGTAATAAACAAAAATATACTTGTGCACATCCGCCACCAAGAGTTTCGCAAAATCTTCCGCTGTAACCGTTCGGACACAAACACTTTCCGGATTTTGCTTGACAGATTCCGCCGTTTTGACAATCGCTACTTTTTCGGCATGCCCCAACACTGCTAGCATTAAGGCACAGCTCGTTGTCTTCACAGTAACAACTGAAACGGAATGACCAAAAATGATGAAGCTTAGCGAAACTAATTAGCTACGGGACCTAAACTCAATTGGTTTTAACTCCTTTATGGACAAAACTTAAAAAAATCCTTGTTACTTCGTTTGTGAGAGTGTGAAAACGCAGCAAACCGTAAGCATTCATTTTTAGAGAATGTTTACCACAAAGTACTCTTTTCTCAAAAAAAGTACTGTTTTTCCTTGCTAGCGTCGTTATTGGAATTTTCTACTAGTCAACTCCAATTATGCCAGGTCCTTCGATCTTGAGCTGCGCACCTCCCTTGAATTACCTGTAGGATGTATATGCTTCCCCCTCCCTCTAAGTTTAACCAATGTCGATTTTTTAATAAATGAAAAAATAAAGTTTGATCCAAATTGCTAAAAGGGTCCAAAACGCGCCTGTTCAAAAAGCCTAAAAAGGTAATAGAAGCTTTTTGCTATAAATTTTTTTTTAGTTACATTAGAAAAATTTACTGAATAGTTATTTTTTTTTGAGTAGATTAGAAGGCATACTTGATAACACTGTTTACTGAAGGCATGATATATGTTTCACGGTATCCAATAAGCTCCACTAACTCGTTACTCCTTGTCAGATTTTGCGAGCATTTAGAACCGTACATACAATGTTCTTGCGCAAATGCGCATGTATCTGCTGTAAGTTGCTTCAGCTGCAAATTCAGCAATTCCGGACCATTACGGAAGAAGTGTTCCAGCAATTTTAGGGAGTTTTCTTTGTTTATTGGTGCACCATGCTGATCCAGAATTGTTAAGAAAAGGCGGAACAAGTCGCCATCCATTCTTTGCAACCCATAAAGTCGGAATTCCTGAAAATTAATAGAATCATTCAATACTCAGCTTCACATTAAAATACTAAGTGATGATTCATGAAGAATTTTTTAAATAAAATTTTTGTTTACCCAAGTAGATGTTGCAGCTACAGAAAAAAAAACGTTTTCTCAGATAACTGTGCTGAGATTGCTTTCACATAAATCAAAGGAACCGTTGACAGTCTTTCCAGCCACTCGTCGTTGTACCGGAAATTGATGCGCCTACTGAGAAATCTAAGTTAGAATTTTCATTTAGTAATTATCGTGCACTGCAAAATGCGTATTACTCCGGTGTATCAAAGTCCTCCCTAGATTTCACTACTTCCGAGGAATAAAGACTTCTCCCAAAGGTACTATACGTCAATAGCTAGCAAGTGGCAAGACTGTCGGTTGCTTTTTTCTCCAGAGTTTACCTAGGTGCGCTATCTAGTAAGTTTGTTTGGAAATTACATGTTCTAAAAGATCAAGTAAATTTTAGTTTGTTTTTTATTTCCCAGCTTTAAACACAGACAAAGCATCGGATGCGAGTAGAAGTGGGAATCAATACTACAGCTTCTTACTTGTCATTTAAGAAAAAAGCGGAGTTAAATATGCACGATATAATGGATAATGATTTACTGAAATGCTAGAGGTACAAGTGAATAGCAGAAAAGAAAAGGAAGAAAGGGGAAAAAGACTGATTGGCAATCTGATAATGGTCCTATCTGTCTGACAAGTGTTCAGCACTATTCTCATTCTGAATCCATCTTAAAAAGAAATGAGCCAAACGACTGACTTCAGTCTGGAAGATCAGTACTAACTGCCACTACACCAATCTACCAGCAAAATTTTGTAATCAAAAATTCTATGAATTTAACCTTATCAGGATGTTTTTCCTTGAAAGCGGTAATAGTATCGGCAATACTACGTTCTTCAGCCCATAGTTCAATTACTACTGTATCATTTTCGAATAATTGCTCCGTCGGCGCAGCTCGTCGCAGGCGTAATTTTAGTGGAAATGTAATATTTTTGTGGCGATTCAGTGCGCTGATGGATAATGCAGACTGCTGATGTTGTTTAGCTTTCAGGAAACTCGTCGACAGTAGCATCATGCAATTTTCAGACAGCTAAATTATCAAAAATTTTTTAAAGGGTTAAAAAATTATTAATATCTGAAAACTATTAAAAAGAAAATATTATTTAATAGGCATCGCTTGCTTTAAACTAAGTGATTCATAGCCCACTCATTAAGTATTTCCGGAATATTAGCGTGAACTGCACGCATGTGTAAAACTCTT